GGGGAGAGAAGTTGGCGGCTGAGCACAGTGGGCGCCATTTGGCAGGTGTTGGGATCAATGACGGGTGCCGCGGTGCTGCCGGAGAGATGGAAAGGGAAAATGGCTCTGCCTGGAAACCCCAGCCCCATCTGCACCACAAGCCTGGAGGAGAAGCAGGCGCAAGGAGGAGATTCAGCCACCGTTTCATCTCCAGCCAAAGCTGAAACGTCCCCCAAAAAAAAACCCTAGCGTTTGCGCCTCCTCTCCACAAGCTTCTCCAGAGACAACGTGCTCCCCAAAGCCCTCTAAGGTGTTGCAGTGTTTCCACAAACCAAGCCAGCTGCTTCCCCCAGCACAGAACAGCCGGATTTTGGTGCAAATGGGGACGCTGCCAACCTGGCCAGGACAGTCCTTGCCCCAGCTAGCCCCGGCACAGGAGAGCAGAGCCCAACAGCCCTCCACCAGTGGCCTGAGAAGGAGGTTTGGGCCGCACTTACCACAGCGCAAGGCCCAGACTATTGGTCTTTCACCTGCAAACACAAGACATAAAGGACCAAACGTTCACGGGGGGTCCGGGGTCTGGCACCCCCACCACTGGGACTGGCTGCGGCCCCTTACCCCTCAGTGCTCGCAGGGGGGCTTTGGTGGCAATCGGAGACAGGCCAGTGCTGATTTGGAGATTATTTACACCCTCGCTTCAGTGATTTGGCCACTGATTTGATTAGCAAGCCTGCACTCTGTGTAATCAAGCTCATTAGCATGGGTGGGCAAGTCAGCCTATAAATTCGGCCGTTTCAAGTGCATTAATCAATGTTTTGCTAATTGGGCATCTGGGCTAATGTTTCTCAAGTCAGCTGGAGGCAAGGACGCGCTCCCCACCCACCCATCCGCACTCTGTTCCCCAGCCATCGCAATTTGATCCTTTGATTCCCAAATCTTGATCTCGGCCCTTAAATTATCAGCGGAGCCTGCCAAGTGAAACTCAAATTCGGGGTGAATCAGGCTTGCATTTGCATTTAATCCTCAGGGCTCAAGCGGGGATACTCACACCGAGCTACTTCCCATCCAGCACTGACTCTGTTAGCTGCACGCTAGAGCTACAAAGACACAAGGATGGCATGTTTAGCACCAAGAGAGTTTCGCGAGGTGTGGATGGCTAAAATCCCTTGGTGCTGCCCTGGCTCGAGGTGGAAATGTCTCTTTTTGCCCACAGGAGCGAGACGTTGGGCCGACGGCCTCGCGAAGCCCGACGCGGTGCCCGCGCGGAGGTGCAGCAGTGACAGCAAGGGATAACAAACATCTTTCCGGAGCGGCACCGACGCCATGTTTTGGCACTGTGGGACCGGAGGCCGCCCCGGGGCAGTACGTACGTACCCTCTCTTCCTCACTATGTGGCCGCACCACCCACGGACCTCTTTGTGGCCGCCCCCCCCATGGACCTCTTTGACCACCACGCGAGCAAGGAGCTGCAAGAGGAAAGGTGGAGGATTGCCACAGGGCCAATGGCTCTGCAGCCACCAACCTCGGCGTGAGCATTTCCGTCGCCGGGAGAGAAATTTTAAGGCTCTTCCTAGGGAAGATTGCATAAACTAAAACCGTGCGTGAAGGAGGTCATTGGGAAAAGCCAAGCGGATGGAGGCAAAGGTTTGGAATTGATACAGGGCTTTCCAATTTGCCCTGTGCCCGGCTGTCTCCCAAGGACCGTCCCTGCCCACTGCCGGCGAGCGGGCGGCTAAAACGGAGCCGTTGAATATCCAGGGTAGCAAAACGACTCCTGCCAGGGAGGGACCTACCAGGCAAGCCAAGACGTCAGCTGCTATCAACATGTAGATGTAGAAGACATTATTCCAGCCCGTGGGGGAGATGAGCCCTGCGAGCAGTGGCCCTAGTGCAGCACCTGCGAAGGTGCACGAGGCACATTAGGAGATGCCCTGTGCACAGGGGAGAGGGGGTCAGGACCCCCCAGCACGACAGCACCGGGGGAAATTAGCGCTTCGCATCCTCCAGCTGTTACAGACCTATGGATCCTGTGCCGTCAATGATGGCTGTGACAGTAGAAAGGGCTTTGGCGTTTCCTTTGAGAGACTCATGGGTTCCCTGTAGGGACAGAGGAGCAAAACGTAAGGAGGAAAAGCGGCTTCAGGGTCTGCAGCTGGCAAATCCTAGCATGAGGCCGCCCACACCCCTGGCAGCAATTTCCATGCATTGGACCCAGCCATGGACGGGAAGACCAAACTCGGACGCTGCCTGCAGCCAAGCCACAGCAAAACCGGGATCGCCAACAGCAAGCAGCAATCCCAGGTGATTTCCCACCAAATTTTTCCAGGATTGTGGTTAGAGCGAGACACAACAGGGCCAAAGCAGAGTTGTGCAGCCAAGGTGAAAAAGCAATAGGAAAAAAAGCTGTGTTTAAGGGATGGTGCCGACTGCAGCACGAGGTGTGACAGCCCTCCTTTCTCCGCTGGGCTTCAGAGGCATTGGAAAACAAAGCTAAAATGTAAAAATCCCAGCAGATGTCCCTCCAGGAAAGAGGGAGCAGCCTTTGGGTGTGCAAGGGCAGCGTGGCGGGGTCTGAGGTGCGCCTCTTACCAAATCTGCCGAAACTGCTGTCGTGATGAGAGCATAGGGCCCGTTAACCAGAGCGCCACAGACAATCAGCATCGCTACGAGGAACGAGACGGCCGCGGAAGTACCCAGGAAGAGATTAAATCTTTGAGTGCAGGGAGCAGCAGGACATGGGGTCCATCATCCCCGGCCCGTGTGTGGACATTGCTGTCCCACACATCTGTCTCCTGCGCATCTCCATTTTCCCCCGGCGATCCCACCCAGCAGGCAGCGAACACTCCTCCAGCACCACCCTCCCCCAAATCCCGGACTGGGAGCCCGGCTCAAGAGGAGAAATAAAAGCAGGTGAGTCCGCAGCATCTCCCATCGCCCCCTCAGTGACGGGAGCCAGCTGCACCAAGTTGCTCCTTACCTATTGATGTGCCGATGCTGTTCTGGCCAACATGGTTATACAGGAACAGCTGGAAAAGAGACATGAGATGAACCAGTTACGGCTATTCCAGCTGTTTTCCCAAGCATTTTCCCTGCAGCAGCACCCCGGGACAGGACAGAGAAGGTGGGGACCTGAATTATCACTGGCGTCAAGCTTCGCAGACGCCCCCCACTTCGGGGCGTTTGAAGAGGAGAGCGCCAGCCACGACGGGGAGCCGAGCGCGCCCTTGGCTCTGCGTCCTGCCGTCTGCCTGCCAGATGAAATACCTGGCAGCTGGCAAACAGAGGTGCTGCCGCGATTTATGGCCCGGCGAGGCTCGTGCGCCTCCCCGCCGGCTGAAGCCAGACGGTAATTTGCCCCGCCGGCACTATCGGGGGACGCGGATGTGATGCGGCCTCTCTGCTTTTCAGCGCGCGCCAGCTTCTTTGGAGGGGAGAGGCTCGCGACCCAGAGCCAGCCAGGCTTGGATTACAGCTAATTAGCCACGTTTTTGCAGCAGCAAAGCCAAATGAGCTCCGTGCAGGTGCTCGGGAAGGACGTCCCAGCCAAGCGCCGGCCGAGCATGAGGCCATCAGCACGGGGGCTTTTGGGATGCAGAGCAAAGAGGTGAGAGCTGGACCAGCTCAGTGGGACCCCCAAGGCTTTAAGACACAATGGGGTTATGGCAGGAGGGAGGAAAAAAACACCCCTAAAGGTTTTTTTTTAGTTGTCAAGGACTATACAATCCCCTCCGAGCCCCCAGATCTGGACGTTCACCCCGGGAACATCTGGGCACGTGGATCGATTCCAGCTCTCGTCTCAGCCGAGCGTGTGACCAGCTCATCCTGGGTGCTTGGGAAGAGGAAGGCGGCTGTGACTCAAAGGAGCCGGAGGAGAGGAAACCCTCGTGATTGGGTTTTTTTCCCCGCATGACAACGCACCATGGGAGCGGCGACGACCAGCATCACGCAGCACGTGGTGGCTCTGCCGCCGGTGTAGTCGGAGATGAGGCCGGCAAAGATCCCCCCTGCAAGGAGGAGTCTCAGGTGTCAGTCACACTGACCCAGCAGCAAAGCTGTGCCCTGGCTTAACCCAAAATCCGAAGGGATGCTGCACTGTGATGTTCTTTCATCCCCCATCTTTTCAGCAAGATGCCCCCAAGGTTAAATATAGTAATATCAGAGTGAAGAGCTTTGATTTATCCACACCGCTTTCTCACTGCAGATGGTTTCCCTATACCTGCACGCAGCTCTGGTCCCTTCCATGCTTGCAAAATGTATTATTTATATAAGAAAAAGGAGAGCCTGAGCAAGCGAGACCCAAGGAAAAGTGTTGCGATGGTCACCTGGATGGCAAAATAAAAGCGAGGGGCGTTTGCTGCCTGCTGAGTGCTACAGGTGCCGAATAAACCTCACTACGGTAAGAGATGTTATCGGCAAAGCGCTGTCATGGAGGGGACTTTCCATCAAGGCCAGGAGTGTCCCCAAATCATACCCAATCCACCCTCTCTGCCTGGGTACGTTACAAACCTAAAATGCCTCCAACGTCAAAGAGGGTTGACAGGTCCCCGGCTTCCTTGGCACCGAAATGAGCTGCGAAGGAGAGGGGAGGGGTGAGGAGATGCTGCCCTTGCCAGGCTCGCTCCCACCTCACCATCCCCAAAAACTCACCGACGTTCACGATGATAGAGAGGGCCAGCCAGTAGAGGAAGGTGTAGCTCACCAGCTTGGCGAAGAGCAGGCAAAGGGAGAACTCCACCACGCCCTGGGAGGAGAGGAAAAGACATCAGAGGAGCCTCCTTCTCCCAGCCTCCTCCAGATGGTGATTTTGTTCCCCAGTTTTCTGCTCTGTGGGCACCCTGTTGATGGGTTGAGCTGGCCTGGCTTTGCTCTTTCCTCCATCCCCATCACGATGCAAGGGGTATCCCGTGACTCACGGGTATCCGGAGCGCCCCGAGGAAGCTGATGGCTTCGGGCTCCTCGGCTGGCTCCGTGGGGCTGTTGGAGCGGTCCATGCTGCTCTGGCCTGTGATGCTCAGCGGCCCCTCATTGGAGGTGACTGCTTCGGAATCCTTCTCGTTGGAGGTCACCCCTCCAGCATCCTCCTCGTCGGAGGCCATCTAAAAGCAAGCCAAAGGCAGGAGGTGTGGCTCTTGTTGCTGGAAGGGGCTGAAACATCAGATTTGCTGCTCGGACGTGACCCAGAGGATGCTTGCACTGGAACAGCAACGAGCATCCTCTGTGATAACTGAACATCGCTCTAATTTCTGACATTATGACTTGACGCCCCGGTTGTTTTGCTGTAAGCTGAGTGACCACCCAGCCCAGGACAAGCCCATTGGGAATCGATTCGACTCACGTGATGCAGAGGTGGACTGCAGCCGACGTCCTCGGGATCTGCAGGAAGAAAGGAGATTCCATGAGAGCCTGCACCAGCCCCACTCTGCCTGCTCTCCCTCCAGCATTTCGTGGTACAGGGGAGAGAGGTGAGGCTGGGAAACCCCCACAGCTGGGCTGCATCTCTGGATACCCACTTCCCAGCAGCAAAAAAACCCTGGTAAAATCCCAAAGGGCTTCCCAAATGTTTCCTAGAAAGATAGGCTGAGAGGAGCGAGCGGCACAGGGGCTGAGCCTGCCTGGATGACCCCAAAGGATGCTGAGCATCCCTGTGGTGGTGAG